ACAAAAACCCGGGCCAGGATTTTAATCGAATATTTAGTCCAAATTCAATATCTCCATAAATGAAATTAATTGTATAATCACAAATCTCAAATATAAGACGATCACATAGTACATGATCGTAGGACAATGTAATCGTAACGAATTCAATCAATCTTATGAATCCCATCAACATTCCTAAACGAGGCCTGGACTAATGTCTCCATGAAATTAGTTACCAAATATGCAGAAATTTGATAACATTTAAATCAGGCCAACAAAACTTAGATCTTAAACTTTGTCAGCGTAACAAACGAGAGAAAGACACAAAAACAGTTACGGACTGGACTAAAAATAAATAAATAAAATAAAGAAAGAAAGAATACTCACAGCAATTGTGCTAGCAACATATCCCGGTTTCTCACGAGGGTCAAGTCTGGAGCAAACGAGAAGCAGCGCTGCGAGATACCATGGAATTCCAACAGTAAAGAATCCAATAATGAACCTTCAACAACGACAAAAAAAGAAACGGAGTACCTCCTTTTAACAGCTAGTATATAAGAAGTTATTCGTCAAAAATACCAAAACCAAGATTATAATTCGAGCTTATGTGAATCCCATAACTCCAAATTATACCACTTACTACTCCGAATTCACGAACCAACCCAACTTTTGAGTCACTCGAAAGAAAAATAAATTTAAGCCATTTTATAAAACAGAAGTAAGTGGTTCCAAAAATTTAAATAACCGATCAAAAATCCGATTTTTTTATTAAACTTTGGAAGCACTTTGGAAAAAACAAAAGTAGTTTTAAAAAAACGGGGGATTAGTTTAGTGTGGAAGAGACTTACAAGAACCAGCCAAAGCCGATACCACAACAAGGAAGGCGGGCCTCCCTTACGGGTCTTCCTTCTGCAACAGCATAACCTGCAATGGAAAATCGGATCAAATCCCTTCACAACTACGTGACAACATGGTTAGGCCTCGTTTTGTTGCCAAGATAAGATTAAATTATCTAATGACAATCCAATTAATTTATTTAAGACATCGGGACGTCCAACAAAAATAAAATCTCTAAAAGGCAAGATAAACCATGATAACATAATATTTGCAGGTCGACCCGGCAAGTTATTGGGAATACCAAACATCAAACAAAGTCCAATTATTTAGTTAATCATGGCTAACCTCCCCAACCAAACAAGGCCTTAGTACATATAAATTGTTCGACAAGATCAAATCCTTACTCTTTGGTCCCTTTTAGACCAAGAAAACATCAGATCATCTTTTAGTCAAAAACAAAGTACAACCGAAACGGATCTCGCAAAGGTTTGACGAACACTAAACATAATTCCCGCAAGATCGGGAAACGGTCTTACACCCTACACTTGATCAATTATTCCATTCAAATACTACCAAAATCCCAAATCAAGAACACACACACACACACACACACACACACACACACACACACACAAAAATAATAATAAAAAGATTCATAATTCCCTGAAAACTGCAGATCAAGGTAATATAGGGGATCCCATATTAAATAAAATCAATTAATAGAAGGATCCACCTCACAGCACAGCTAATATTTTTAGGTCAAAATCTCGAAAATAACGATCATAATTCAACGGTCTGAACAAATTACAGATAAAGACAGAGTCTTTATTAATGGGGTTACTCTACCTACTCATACACACAAGATTCAACGGTCTGATTGATTGATCGGAAATAACAGAAAAAAAAATTATGCAATACAGATGGGTATATATATAAACAGTATGATACCTGGAACAGTTTGATAACCATGAGCGTAAAACTGAGGCGGCGGAGGGTGGGGACCACCGGAAATTCCAGGCGGTGGAACGGGTTGAGGGAAGCCTATGGCCGTCGGGGGAGGGTGGTTGACTACACCCTGGAAAGTTCCATACGGCGGCGGCGGTGGTTGTTGGTTGTAACGGGTGCCCTTTTTCCCTTCACTCATAATTGATCTTTCTATTTACCTTCTTTTTTTCTCGATCGATCAGAGATTTTTCAATTGGGTTTCAGAAAAGAAATTGATTTTTTGAAGGAATCTTTGATCTTCGTTTCGCCCGAAGAAAACCTCAACAGAAGAGAGAGAGAGAGAGAGATAAGACAAAATTAATGCTCAACAATAATGGAGGAAAGCAACTCTATCAAGTGGTTGTTTTCTTCATTTTACTACTACTTGCTATAATTAATTCGTTTTATGAGTTCGTCTATTGACTTGTTCGTGCTTAGGACAACTTTTTGGTTAAGTTTCACATGTAATAAAATCTCAACAAAATTATTACTTTAACATGGATTAAATAATAGTTTTTTCTTGTTCTGGCTGGCTCAGTAAAACCTACTAAATTATTATTTTAATAATAATAATTTTTATTTAATTAATAGAATTTTATTAGTTCCGACTGTAAATAGATATACTGGGTAACGGGAAAACATATATGGAAAAACTAGATGTTCCAAAAATGGAGATACGAGAAACTTGAGAGAAACGTATAAGTATTAAAAGTATAGAAATATATTTATAAATATGCTAAATTAAATATAAATAAGTTTTTATTTACATATATTTTTTTATATATTTTGATATGAATATATTCAAAATAAATATTATTATCAACTAGCACTTTGAATTGATCATTAAATCATGTAAATAATTAGGGAATCAACAAAAATATTTGAAAAATTGATGTCAAACATGTTTTCAACTTTTCAAAAGTTACAAAATGACTCATCAGGTGTCCAGCAAATATCCTCGAGTTTCGAACACAAAACATATCCGAAACATAAATACGTTAAGAAGTTAAAGTATTCATGCTACATAATAAATAGAAAGAGTAGCCTAGTTGTAGAGTATGAAAGCAAGACAACTAATGGTTGATTATATGCCCCGATCACAAGACTTTTATTATTTGAATTGTTAATTAATTGTCAGAGATAATTATTGGAATTTCATGGTTAATCTCCAAATTAATTTCTGCCTATTCATTTGTTTAAAATCATGAATAGGTCAAACAAAAATTGCCTCCAAAACGTGGAGTTGTGGACTAATGTATTGCACATTTAATTCAGTTAAACTTGTAATTTTGAATGCCTTGAAATTTGGCTAAATTTTACTCAAAAAAAAAAAAAAAAAAAAAAAAAAAAAAAAATTGGGCTAAATTTGTAACATAGTTTGATGCTTAATCACCACTGGATAACTTAAGGCCTCACTTTGATTAGGTAGACTAGTCATGATTAACTAAATTATTTAACTTTGTTTGATGTTTAGTATTCCACATGCCCAATAACTTGCCGGATCAACCTGCAAATATTATGCTATAGTAATTTATATTGCCTTCTAGGAATATTTTTTATTGGATCTTCTATGTTCCAATAATACAATTGAATTTCATTAGATTATTTAATCTTATCTTGGTTAATCTAGTCCTGACAACCAAACGAGGCCTAAATGTATTACGATGTTATTTCTATACGCCCGAAGCAAATTCAATTCCACTTTCACCATCTTCTGCGATTCGCCGATCCAATTTCCATGCATTAAGTAATTCAAGACCAATATATGAAAAATAACAAGCAAGTAGTAGCAAATATTAAAAACCAAATCTTTTTCCAGATTACTCGTTCGAACATAGACTACTCACACGAGAAAACACACGATCACATATTACGGTTACGAGTATAAAAGTAGAACATTATATAACACAATTTGCAGCAGTTATAATACATGGAGACCTACTTCATACTGCTTAAACGAGCTTCATACCGAACAACCGCTACATGGTGGGACTTTGATGTTGACTTCAACGAGCTTCATATTGAACAACTGCAAGAAACAAAATAAAAAAATGAATTGAAGAGCTGCAAACGCACGAATGAATCATCAAACAATATGTTCGCAATCAAGATTCCATTTTTTTTCTTTCTTAAGATAAGCAGGGAATCTTCTCGTTCTTAGATTACGATGAAAACTAGACGATTTGTCACTTCATATTTTGCTATTGATAGAGTTAACCATAACAATTGAGATAATTTAATCTCCCGTATTTCCACTTGCACAATAGAAACGATCGATTATACCACATATCCAGTTTTTCTACCTTCCGAAGTTCCTTCAATCTTTTTACCAAATGACGATCGAGTCCTAACGATATTGTTTCAGTCCGAAGTGTAAGAATATAAAGCAATCTAACCATGCAAATAATTGCGAAATACCAAGATTCGAGAATACAAGAAACATAACATCTCGGCTCGTCTTTCGTTCATCAAAGATTAAAACAAAAATTGCTTACTTCTAAGCAAAGCTAAAGCAAAGTTTTATCGCAGAATTTACGACCGCTACTAATATATTATCTGTCACGTAATAATCATTTCCGCATAAAATCACCCAACGGCACAACTAATTTTTGCCCATGAAATCGAATACGTAGATCACCAAGATTGTCAACCATATCATTTGTTATTTGGAAAAGCAGGTCTATGTGTCATTAACGTAAACTCTGAAATTAATAAACAAAATACCCTAAATAGCCTATAATATATTTTCTGAAATTCGATATAAATGATTTTATTCACAATTAAACTGATATAACTTTCTATTGCTGAAATTTGAAAAATAAATAAATAAAAAAAGGAAGAAGAATTACTTCGGCGGGTACGTTTCTTGTAGAGAATACGATAACCACATTCACGACACTGAATCACATCCCCTTGCTTCAGTGTGTTTTCTTGGCCGCAATCTGAATAAAACCCAGTTCAATTTTTCAATTTGATTATCCATACCCAATAAAAATAAAATATCATAATACGTGATTGACGAAACGCGTGAGCGAAATTGGGAATTAATGAACTTGTTTAATCAAAATTGGAATTCGTTATTAAATAGCGCTAATTACCTCCACAGATGTAGCTGACTGGCTCAGGCTGAGGATCCATTGTTTTCGGCGATCGATAACCAGAGACTCTGAAATTTTAGGGTTTATAAAGGTTTTCTTCCTCTGGTGGGAGAGGGGTTCTTCTTCTTATATACACAAAAAATAACATATTATGAGAGAATTACATTTTTAGCCCCTCAACTTTATTATAATTCCACTTTCCGTCATTCGTGTTGCCAGGTGAATAAATTTCACCCTCGATTACTAATATGTTTAGGACTAGCAAACAACTTCGAACTTCTGACTTTCGATTAGCTGTTTTTCCACTTTTGATCAGGTTCGATCAACTAACTTCAGTCAAAGTTAACTAAATCAAATCAGTTAATCGGAATTCCACCGACGTTTCCGGTAATAATCGACAACAAAATCAAAGTTAGCCAAATGAAGTCTGCTGATTGGAGCTCCGATGACCCGTCGTCAGCCACAAACCTCTGAAAAAATAAGGGAACTAAATCAAGTCAGCTTAATCTGAAGTCAACTAATTGGAGACGTGACAAATTAAAATACGGAATAAAAGGAAAAAAAATTAAGATTTGAAAAGGGTAAAAAAGTATAAGATAATTAATGGGGTTTATGTCGAAAAAAATTTGAATTAAAGAGGATTATTCGGGATAAAAATATAGTTGATATATTTATACTAATTAAGTAAGTTAGTGAAGGACTAACTAGGGGTGGTAAACGAGCTGAGCCGGCTCGTGAACTCAACTCGAGCTAAATTATCGTTGTTGGACAACTCGCGAGCTTTTTATTTAATTGTTTTTTTTTATAAATATATTATACAATAAAATTATTAATATTATTTAACACTCTAGTTGAGCTCTAGTTGAACTACTCAAGTAAAAAAATCTCAACTCGAACTCGAGCTCGTGTACAAATAATCGAGCTCGAGCCTGCTAAAATAGTTCGAGTTCGAGCTCAACGTTAAGCTCGAGCTGGAACCAACCAAAATAGACGAGTTAGGCTCGTTCACACTCTAAGGAGTACATCTAGCAAGTTTGTTATATAAAACACAACATAGGAGGGGTCATTGTAAATATTATAGCAACTATGGTTTTTTTGGCAATTGAAAATTATGTATGGACTTTTAAATCAAGTCTGTAAATACTCCTATATATTGAAAATAATCATTAATAAATAAATAAATAAGAGAAATTAAAAACCCCGATACCTATAAGTTATAACCTTTGCTCATTTCTCATTTTTTCTCTGCCCTCTCTCATCACTCTTAACGCACTCGAAGAACATTTAATCACGACAATTTTGCAGGTAAAAACACTTTTTTAATTAATCATATTTCGATTTCGATACTGAGAGAAGAGGTTTTTTGTTTTGCTGCTCCTCCGATACTTTGTAATGGTGAAATTCATCTAGGTTTTCGAGCATGGGTTCGTTACCTTCCTTAGTGAATTTCGGAAGCGTAAATATGATTTCTTTCGGAAATTTCGACAGTTCGGTTTGTTTAGTTAGTAGGGTTTCTTCCCGCGGAAATGGGATTAGGTTTAGAAGTTCTTTATGGAGTGGCACACAGTGGAGGTATTTTCGTGTTTGTAGATATTCTTCGACCACAACTAATTACGTTTCGGAACAAGGGGTTTCGGTATCTCTTGATTCTAATACGTATAGAGGTGGTAAACAAAATCCAGTTTTGAAATCAGTGCCGAAGGTAGAACCCCTTCTCGATATTAATTGGGACGAATCGGAGGTTAGCGGGAATAGCGGTGGTGGTGATGAGAGAAGTAAGGTGATCGAGTCCTTGGAGAAAGTCGAGAAGCTAGAGTCTAGTAGTAAGGTGAATGTAGCTGTAGCCGAGCCTAGAGCGAATGATGCAGCCGATCGAGAAACGAATCGTAAGCCGTTTAAATCGGGGGAGAATTCGACACGCAAGTCGAAGACTATGAAGAGCGTTTGGCGGAGGGGTGATTCGGTGGCTGTTGTGCAGAAAGTTGTGAAGCAGCCTGGGACGGGTGGAGAAGTGGTGTCTGAATCTGTTGCTCCGCCTCGGAGAGTTCAACCGAAGTTGCATACGAAACCGTCTGTTGATCCACCGCCTTCTGTTAAGAAACCTGTTGTCTTGAAGAATGTGGGCGATGGAAACGATTTGGTTGAAAAGACAATAAGGCGAAAGCCGATTTTGATCGATAAATTTGCGTCCAAGAAACCTTTGGTGGATCCTCTGATTGCTCAAGCTGTTTTAGCCCCTCGAAAACCGGGGAGCCGCCTTCCGACTAGAAAAGTCAAAAACGACTGGAGAAAGAAGAGTAAAGCAGGTACAGCATCTGATGGGGACCCGAAGCGTAGGCGTAAGGTCAGCGATGATGGCATTCTCGACGAGGATGTGTCTGAATTCGACGTTTCGATTCCCGGTTCTTCGAAGGCTCGTACGGGCGGCAGAAAATGGACTAAGGCGAGCCGGAAGGCGGCTAGGAGGCAGGCTGCTAGGGATGCCGCCCCTGTCAGGGCGGAGATGGTGGAAATCGACGAGGATGGCATGTTGACCGAAGATTTGGCGTACGAATTGGCAATAAGCGAAGGCGCACTTTTTGGGTTTTTTTTCGAGAAGGGAATTAGGCCCGACGGAGTGCAGAAGCTGAGCAAAGAGATGGTGAAGATGATTTGTAAAGAGTACGGGGTGGAAGTGATCGACACTGTACCGGTTAGGGTTGAGGAAATGGCGAAAAAGAAGGAGATTCTTGATGAAGACGATTTAGATAAATTAGAAGATCGGCCTCCGGTTTTGACTATAATGGGGCATGTTGACCATGGAAAGGTAGTGTGGAACAATGTTTATCGATTTGTTATAACTGTTTTTAATTGAAGAAATTCTCTCTCTCCGAACTCCAGCTAATATGTTTTGTTTCCGCATACAGACAACACTTTTGGACTACATAAGGAAGAGCAAGGTATATATATATATATATACACACACATATAAGGATATACCCGACTTCGAGTCTTTTTTTTTTTTTTTATTCCGATTTTTAGAGGTTTGCACTCATTATTATATACAAATGTGTCTTAGGTGGCAGCGGGTGAAGCTGGCGGGATTACTCAAGGAATTGGGGCTTATAAGGTTCAAGTACCTATCAACGGAAAGACACAAACGTGTGTGTTTCTTGATACACCTGGCCACGAGGTAATATTGTTTATTACCTATTGTTTTTTTTTCTTCTTGTTTTCTCGACAGATAATCTAATTCGCTTTGTTCATTGTAATTTTTTTATTAATATTTTGGCAGGCATTTGGAGCGATGAGAGCGCGTGGAGCTAGAGTGACGGACATTGCTGTAATTGTAATTGCAGCTGATGATGGGATAAGGCCTCAAACGAGCGAGGCTATTGCTCATGCCAAAGCTGCAGGGGTGCCGATTATTGTAGCTATCAATAAGGTATTTTTGTTATGGTAGTTTTATTGCTTGAAGTACAAGTTTCGTGTTGGTTTTATTTTTATTTTTTATTTATGGAACCAATGTAGATTGATAAAGACGGAGCTAATCCAGATCGAGTCATACAAGATCTTTCAGCAGCTGGTTTGATGCCTGAAGAATGGGGCGGCGACATCCCAATGGTTAAGGTGATTAAATATATATATATATATATACATATATATATATATATATATATATATATATATATATATATATATATATATATATATATATATGTATATATATATATATATAAAAACTTGGATTTTCATGTCCACTTGTTATATAAAGATCAATTCTTTTTTAGACGATAAATTATTCTTGAACCGTGTATAACAGATTAGTGCTCTTAAAGGCGACAATGTCGCTGAATTGCTGGAAACCATCATGCTTGTTGCTGAGGTACTTAGTTTTTATTTTTATTTTTTATAAGTTGTGTCCATATATATTGTTGCTATGTGTAAAAAATAGTTATTGTCATGTTTCCTCATTAATTCCGGACCTGGTTTTCAATTTTTTTCCAATTTAAGTTGCAAGAATTGAAGGCCAATCCAAAGAGGAATGCTAAAGGAACAGTGATTGAAGCTGGTCTTGATAAATCAAAGGGGCCTATGGCTACTTTCATTGTACAAAATGGAACACTCAAAAAAGGAGATGTAGTAGTTTGCGGTGAAGCTTTTGGAAAGGTGCGGGCAATTTTTGATGATAATGGTAAACGAGTCGATGAATCGGGGCCCTCTATCCCAGTACAGGTATATTGCTAGTCTTTTACGTTTTCTGATATATATTGAATGGTGAATTATACTAGATGTAATAATCATATTAAACTCTATTGACCGACTCGTAATTTTTGTTTGAAGTGCGACTTTTTTTTTCACCGAATTCTTGAAAAGTATTGTGCTTTATTTGCCAGGTCATTGGATTGAATAATGTTCCATTAGCAGGTGACGAATTCGAGGTCGTTGTCTCACTCGATATTGCTCGAGAAAAAGCAGAGGCAAAAGCAGAGTATTTAAGAAACGAACGTATAACAGCAAAAGCAGGGGATGGAAAAGTTACGCTCTCTTCTTACGCATCTGCTGTTTCTTCGGGAAAGAATGCCGGTTTAGATTTGCATCAACTCAATATCATACTCAAAGTTGATGTTCAGGTACTCACTCTTTTGTGGGTTTTCTTAATATTCTCGTACGGGATTATATTGATCTGCAATTTCTTTTTTCTTTTGTTTTAAATGAATCTTGAATTGATGGATAGGGATCGATCGAGGCTATCAGACAAGCTATGCAGGGGCTTCCACAAGATAACATCACAATCAAGTATGTACATCAAGCAACGGGCGATTTGAGTAATAGTGATATTGATCTTGCAATTGCGAGTGAAGCCATTATTTTCGGTTTTAACGTCAGAGTATCTGGTTCGGTTAAGAGCTACGCGAATAACAAGAGTGTTGAAATTCGTCTGTATAAAATTATTTACGAACTTATTGATGACGTGCGGAAATCAATGGAGGGTCTCTTGGATACTGTCGAGGTAAATAACATTCCTTGATTTTAATTTGTTTTTTTTCTTAATGCGTTTTCCGTAGTTCGATATCTCCATCTTAAAACTGGAATTTATGTGAGGAAAAAAATGTCTTTATTTTTTGCAGGAAGAAGTCCCTATAGGTATGGCGGAAGTAAGGGCGGTATTTAGTAGCGGCAGTGCACGTGTTGCTGGATGCATGGTGACGGAGGGCAAAATAGTCAAAGACTGTGGAATTAGGGTACTTCGAAATACAAAAGAAGTTTATGTCGGTGTCCTTAATTCCTTGAAACGGGTTAAGGAGATGGTGAATGAGGTAAATTTTTTTTTTTTTTTTTTTTTTTGAGTGATCCTATATTTCGTAAAAAAAGTTCAACGAGTAGGGTTTCTTGATTTCTTGATAATCGGTTTTACGATGTGACAGGTAAATGCGGGACTAGAGTGTGGAATTGGAATAGAGGGATTCAATGATTGGGAAGCGGGTGATATTATCGAGGTCTTTAACTGGGTAGAAAAGAGAAGGTCGCTCGAAGAGGCATCGGCCACAATGTCAGCTGCAGTTAAAAAAGCAGGGTACTAACTGTAGAGAAACACAACACACATGACATCATCATCGATGCCTTATTATTATGTTGGCTCCCGGTGCAGAAGTTTAGAGCTGTGAATATTTAAGCGCGTTAGGAAGGGATTTAAGTTCGTTTTGCTTAGGGGCGATAGGGTTCGTTATAGCATTAAAATTATACAAGTTTTTTGCAGAGTTTTTAGAAATGACCGCCATATGCAACAGATGCTTAATTAACGTCTAACATCGCGTTTTGATTGGAGATTTATGCGTAATCAGTTTTGCTAATCTTGTATGATGTTGGCCATTAATTATGAATGTGAGATCCTTTTGTTAATTGTGTAGCGCTCGCGGTGTGGGAAACCACCGTCACAGAACAATTTACAGGCCGATTGACAAACGGAATAAAAACCAAACCAATTACAAGAAGCAACCCGAGCAGTAAGTAAGATTATGGGATGCGGAATTCGCATTTCTCGAGATGTATTTGAAGCGCCATTTCTATTATTTCAAGTGCGAGGCTTCAAATGTAATTCGTTCTGCACTTGAGGGGGCGTATTGAAACTAGTTTTTAATCATCAACCCGGAGATTGTCTTCGTCTTAGATTATTCTCTCGACCCCAACGAGCAACACCTCTACAAAATATATCTCAAAATTAATATGTGTTTTGACATTTTTCTTTAAAAGATAACATGTTGAATATAAAAATATTATTTGATAAATTTAAATTGTTTTTTTAGTTAAAGTTATAAAGTGAAGTTTTTATAATATCTTAGAATTTCAACTCCAATGAGGTTGGCTTTTTGTGGGCACCAGGTTTGGGTCCACTACTTTAGCGGGCCATTGAGTTACCATGATTTAGATGATGTTTGGCTAAGCTTATAAGATGTTAAGGAGCTTATAGGCTCTTCCAAAGTGTTTGGTAAATTTGTAAAAAAAGATCTTAATTTTTTTTTAAAATAAGCTGTTGGAGACCAAATAAGATCTTTTTAAATAAGTACATTTACCCCATATTTTTATTTAAGATCTTATAATGACTAAAAATAGGAAATAAGCTCATTATCCAAACACTCTAAAAATTAATCCTAAAAATAAGATGTCACAGCTTATCAGCTCTAAAAACATCTTATCAGACGTAAGAGCTTATCAACGATTTAAAATAAGCTTAACCAAACACCCTCTTACATTCCTCCATCAAATACTTGTCGGGCCAAAAGGTGAGGGGCCATGGGGGCGAGGGATTTCGCCTTTTGGTACAAGACTTGCATAAATCAGAAACTGTCTCGATTATTTTGGTAATATATATACTCGTAATTTCGGTTAATGATTAAAAACTAGCTTCAATTTCGTTCAAAAAAAAAAAAAATAGGAAAATAAGAAATCGGAACTTCGGAAATTGAAACGAAATAAACAAGTTCCCAAATCAAAAAATTCAGACCGGAATAGGCAGAATTCGAAAATTTCCAATATTTGCTCACCTTATAATATTGGTATTTTAATTGTAATATTCAGAAGGAAAAAAAAATCTGAATTTTTGGAATCATTTTCGGAACTTTAATCGGATCGGAGTCTCATAAAGAGATCCAAATAATTTCGGAAAAATCGGAAGTCGGAATTTCACAATTCGGATTGAAAAATATTGTTCTAGAGTCAGAAAATTTCAAATCAAAATCGGCGAGAATCGAAAATTTTGTTCCAATTTCCACCTCTAGACCAGAGTAATAAATATAAGAAAATTTGCTAATTAATGGGAAAGGGAAAAAAATCCACTCATTTAAATAATTAAAATTAAAATTACAAAATAATTAGTACTATTTCATAAGATTAATACAAAATAATAGAGTATAGAATCTATAGATACACAAATCGGCATAGTTCAAAATTCAAATTTCAAAAGGGGAGGGCTTCCACCATAATTCATAACGGCACAACGAAATTAACGGCCCCTTCGCCATGGCAACTTTCTTCTTTCCTCTGTAATTAAGTAGTTCTACAAAAGTAAGCATGGAATTCCCCCCCCTTTTCATCTTTTTGCCCTTGAATTTGAATTTAATAATCTTTTTTCATTTTTTATTTAATTTTTTTCCCGTTCAAATTTTGAAAAGAACCGATCCCTTTTATCAATGGAGGAAGACTTTGAATGGCAAGACCCACTTCTTATAACTGATGTTTCTACCCTGCAGCAACAAGATCAAACTCAGATTCAATGTGGGTTTGTTGAATTTCATTTCAAGATTCAATTTTTATTTTGTTCTGCTTCTGTTAATTTGATTTTGTGCTTTTCTTGAATTTATCCTTCACTCGCAGGCGAATTGCCGACTTTTTTTGGATCTGAAGCTTCAACAATGGAAGTAACGGATGAATGTAGTCCCACGAAGATTGATGGTAATCTCTCGAAACCCTAATTTCTAGGTTAAATTCAGTTCAACATTTAGCATTTCTTATTCAGATCTATTAGTTCTTGATTGTGCTTAGTCATCGATATATGCGGAGTAGCTCGTTTTTTTCGTTTGAATTTCAAATAAAATTTGATCCCAATTGAGTTTAACTTTCTAAAAAAAAATCGGTTTCTATAGGTCGTTCGATGTTGGGATTTTCGCTAACATCACCCGATTTAGTATGCATGGGTTCACCCGACATTACTAACCAAAGATACGAAGAATCGCCTAATTTTTTTACGGGCGGAAGAATCGACGTCTCTTTAGAAAACGGAATCGAGGGTTCGGAAACAATCGACCCCTTTAAGGATCCATCTGCAAATATGGAAGATTTATGCACCGAAGCTTCGTTTGAGCTTGTCGCACCGCCATTGGTCGAAGAGAATCTGACTAAAGATTCCACTACCGTAATTGGCATCAATGTTGGATCTTCAACTAGTGTTGAATTTCAAGACAGCATCCGCTTTTCCGAGGACGGTAGTTTTAACGGCGGCGATACTATAAGGACAGAAAATCCCATAATCGGTGACGACGACACAAAAGACGTTCGTCTTTATCAAACTGCACGGTTTGGGAGTTTTTCGTATCATTTTGAGAATTTAGTGTCGGGGGAGTACTTAGTCGATCTGCACTTTTCGGAGATAGTGTTCACTGATGGTCCCTCGGGAATGAGAATCTTCGATGTTTTCTTACAAGATGATAAGGTAATAATAATTGCTTCGGTTATCAAGAAGACAAGTTTTTTGATGTGCTGGATAATACGAGCATTTATTGGTTTTTAAATTTTGCAGGTTGTGTCTTGTTTAGATATTTACGCACAAGTCGGCGCACATGTTCCTTTGGTGATATCCGATCTTAAAACTTGCGTTAATGGAGACGAAGGGTTGTCGGTTAGATTTGAAGGAGTAATTGGCAGTCCAATAGTTAGTGGAATATTTATTAGGAAAGATTCTTCTGCAAGTAAGTCGAAAATGAAGTTTCTAAATATCTTCACAAATTTAACGGCTCATTGCGGATGTACGAAATATAAATTCATTTACTGATCTCAGGTTCTGAAGAGGTGAGATTATCCGAACAAGTGGGATTTACGTGCATACCACAATGCGATTCGCTGAATGTACATAATCTTTAAAGCTATTTAAATATTTTTAAATTAAGATCATGTGCATTGACAGATGTAACTAACTAACTAAATTATGTTAATTGATAGGACGACGAAAATGGTTCGTTCAACGATAATGAGTTTCATAGGCTTCGAACCGAACATGCAATACAGAAGGAGGAACTGTCGAAGACAAAAAGGATTTTGGAGGGAATTAAACGAGAATACGAGGAAAAGAGTAGAGAATGCCACGAAGCTTGGAAATCATTGAAAGATCTTCAAAACGAGCTTATGCGCAAATCAATGCATGTCGGATCATTGGGTAAGGAAGTCATTTTACAATTTTAGTGATCGTTACAACTATATACTATGTGTTAATTATACATAAAATTATTGCTTATTTAAACACGTCTGATGATTTTTACTCATGTAGCTTTTGCAATTGAGGGACAAGTGAAAGAAAAGACGAGATGGTTTTCATCACTTCGTGACTTGACACGAAAATTGAAGGTATTATTATATATTGGAATTTTTGATACATTGTGAATTATTATTATATACTGTGAATTACAGTACTTGAATCGAATTTTCGATTTATTTTACGACAGATTCTGAAGATGGAACATATTAGCCTCACAGAAGAAGCTGCAGTCCTTAAGCATTATGTAGGAGAGATGGAGGGTGTCCAATCTATTGTTCAATCCACAAGTAATTATTTTTTAATATACCTTTCGATTATTTATTCGTTTGCTTATTAATATTTTTATTTTTTTATTTTTTTCTGATGAATGTAAATATATGTTGCCAGTGAATCAGCAAGTCGAATTACACGAAGATATTAAAAATAAGTACCTCCAAGAAGTGAAGCAGAGGAAAGAACTTTACAACAAAGTTCTTGAACTGAAAGGTAATATAACTGACTTGTCGATTTAACGATTTTATGTTTAAGTTTCTCAAATTTGATAAAAAATACGTTTTCCGTCAGGTAACATTAGAGTATTTTGTCGCTGTCGGCCATTGAACACTGAAGAGATCAATGGTGGAGTTTCAGTGGCAGTTGATTTCGAAGCTTCAAAAGACGGCGAATTAACGATTTTGTCAAACGGGATATCGAAAAAGACATTTAAATTTGACGCCGTTTTTAGTCCCGAAAACAACCAATGTAATTTCAAATTTTTTTTAACCCATGCCTTTTCGATTTAATAATAATTAGTCCATTTTTTTATAACTAATTAGTACATATTCTTTATTGTAGGTGATGTTTTTGAGGAAACGGCCCCACTTGCAATTTCGGTTCTCGATGGATTTAATGTTTGCGTATTTGCTTATGGGCAAACCGGAACTGGAAAAACATTTACTATGGAGGGAACAAATGAAGCTCGTGGAGTTAACTACAGAACTCTCGAGAAGCTATTTGACATAATTGAGGAACGGAAAAACACGCACCGATATGAAGTATCGGTTAGTGTTTTGGAGGTTTATAATGAGCAGATAAAGGATTTACTAGTTTCGGATTCGCAGCCTGGCTTAAATGCAAAAAGGTCGGTTCTTTAATTAATTAGATAAAAAAAAGCTTGCTTCATAATTCGTTGCTTCCTTATTAAAAAGATCGGTTTTTTTATTGGAGTAAATGCAGGCTCGAGATAAAACAAGTAGGTGAAGGAGGGCATCATGTACCGGGATTGGTCGAAGCAAATGTGAACAATGTGAGAGAGGTTTGGGAAGTTCTTCGGACTGGCAGTAATGGAAGAGCCGTTGGATCGACTAATGCCAATGAACATAGTAGCCGTTCCCATTGGTTCGCTTCTTCATTCTTTCTTGATTATTTATAATCCCGTTTTAAGTCGAGAAAAAGTTGATAAAAAACGATTCTTTTTTTTTCTAAAATGCAGCATGCATTGTGTAATGGTGAAGGGAGAGAATCTACTTAACGGAGAATGCACGAGGAGCAAGTTATGGCTGGTTGATCTAGCCGGAAGTGAGAGAATAGCTAAAACGGAAGTTCAAGGAGAGAGATTGAAAGAGACTCAGAATATAAATCGATCACTTTCTGCACTTGGAGATGTTATATCTGCTCTTGCAAATAGAAGCCCACACATCCCTTTTAGGTACAGAATATAAATACATCACTTTCTTGAATTTAGAAATTCGATTTTTGCTAAATATATTGCATTCTGATTTTTTTTTTTTTTTTTGGGTGTGTAGGAATTCGAAACTCACTCACTTGCTTCAAGACTCTTTAGGTATCCACGCGTTTATTGTAGTTTTAAATTAGATGAAATCACTTTTTTCTAAGCCCCGTTTTCTCTTCATTATAGGAGGAGATTCGAAGACATTGATGTTTGTGCAGATCAGTCCAAACGAAAACGATCTGACCGAAACTATTTGCTCGTTAAATTTCGCTAGTAGAGTTCGCGGGATTGAGTTAGGTCCTGCAAAGAAGCAAATGGACAAAACCGAGCTCGTCAAATACAAACAAATGGTAATGTACACTATGAAATCCTAGTTTTCTGTAGATTATTGTTTTAATTATTTTTTTTCTGATATCGATTTTATGTTTGAAGGTTGAAAAACTAAGGCAAGAAATGAAGAGCAAAGATTCCCATGTACGGAAGTTGGAGGACACTAACTATGGTCTTGAGGTGAAGATAAAAGATAGAGATTCGAAAAACCGAAGCCTCCAAGAGAAGGTAAATTTGCATGAGGCTCGATTTTTTTTCACCACCGTTTTGATCTATATCTTGAACGAATATTTTATGATTCTTGAAAAAAAAAATCAGATAAAAGAATTGGAATCGCAACTTCTGGTGGAGAGAAAGTTAGCACGACAGCACGTTGACTCGAGGATATTAGCAGAAATGAAACAACACCAAGAGGAGCAGGTCAACTCCGAGTCAACGAGACCGCCACTTGCTCCGACGAAAATACTCGGTGTTCATAAATCTCAATCCGAAACCAAACCTCAACCAAGTAATAATATCCCTCGTTTATCTGCTGAAAACGATGACTTCTCGTTTTTCCCTCTTTCCATGGATGAAAATCCCAAGATGGATAAAGAAAATAATCCGGAAATTGCCGAACAACTATTAAAACCGCCGAAACAAACAGGCAGAGCTTCGCTTTGTCCGATTGTCCCAAGGGTTTCTGCTCCACGTAGAAACTCTCTTATCCCACTTCCGAGTTTGCATGGACAAGCGAAGCTAGCACCCTCGTTTCTGCCGTTGACTCCGATTCAAGCCGATAAGAGTGAAGAAGGAGGTGAAACGTGTTTGCCCCTACAGGTGCATAGTCCGAAAGATCAAAAGAACAGAGGTAAGAGACTCGGTAGTGCGTTGAGAAGAAGCCTACAGAAGAAGATTTACGTGAAGACACCCATGCAGCCGCCTGTTAGAAGAATCGGTGTCAATGTCGGTATGGATAAGTTGAGAGTTTCGATCGGGAGCCGAGGGCGAATCGGTCAACGCGTGTTTCTTGGAAACGCTAGAAGAGGTGTAGCAACAAGGGATGCTAATAACAGTAATAATAATACTCAGCTGAAGCAAAACCACAGAGACAAAGAACGAGGATGGAATACTGGGACAGTAACAAGGAATCTCTTGTAGTGGTTTTCGAGTTTCTTTCGTATTTATTTGTTCCGACTGACCTTTGCATAGTTTGAGTTTCAAGATTCGTTTTTTTTTTTTTTTAACTTTCGATGATGGATGATGCTTATCATCTCTTTGGTTGGTTTAAATTTATTTGTTTGGTTGAAGTGAATTGATTTGATGGTGATGTACATAACGATTGTAATTTGGTTCGGGTGGTTTTTTGTTCGTAATTATCAATTAATGGCTTGCAACATCTTACTTGTGCAAGCTCTATGTATCAAGTTAAAAACTTGGAAAGAAAGCAACTCTACTTTACTCTAAGCTGAAGTACTGAGATAATCGACAAAAAACGAAAGCAACATTTTTTTTATGTCCTTTTTATCAGCAAACTCGAACGAGCGGCAACAAAGAGTGAACTCAGGTGCTACGTGCGATCATGCAAGAGGCGTGGGACTCATGCACAGTCATCAAAACTGCCGCGTTTCAGTGCTTCAAACAATACTTGATAAAATTCGATAACGTTTCTATTAGTTCTAACGACGTCGTTCTGAGTTCTTCAAAATCAGTAATAACATCGTTAAATTTGTAACAACCAAGCAAGTTAAGCAACTACTAGTCTGGCAGCTGATTATCTATATATCAAGAAATTATAAAAAATGATATAAAATATTAAATTAATTTAATTTAATGGATAAGGGAAATTTCATTAATTTGTTGCTCTACCTGCTAATCATGGCTTGTCTGTGGGCATTTGATTTTACCCAATTAATTATGTGGGTCAAGACAAATTAACATTGGAGCTATTTTACATATCTATCTGCACTTGATTTAATTAATCAAATTAAACACATATAATTATTAGTGAGCATCTTTTCTTGTAGGGTTTGTTTTATTAGAGTTCATGATTCTATCACCACATGACATTCTATTTCTTCTGTTGTTATTTATTATTATTTATTTTTATTATTTATTTATTTATTTTTGGTGGGATCTGAGTAATGATTAAGAGTTGATAATAATTAGATTCATAATACTAACAAAACTATATACATATGTATGGAACTATATGGGGTTGGTGCATGTGACAATGTAAAAGTATTTATTTAATACTTCTTATTTAATTTACCGTTTTATTTATCATTTAGGGCCCGTTTAGTTACCATTATTAGATTCTGCTACTAAATAGTAGGGACTAATAACATATTTGGTTGATAAGATTATTCGTACTTATTTTAAACCGCTACAAAAATTGAAGCTCCTCTGCTATTTTATGATACCATCTCATTAATTTAATAGCACCCCTCTTCTTTTTTTTTTTTTTTTTTTTTTGGTAATGCAGGAACCCGCAGCCAACCATATAGGTGCACTGGGTAAACCTACATTCTCGTATAATAGCTTGCAAACCATACGAGAGATGTAAACCACACTAGGCTAACCATGTGTGACAAGCTCGACCTAGCGACCGTTGACAAGGGGATTCGAACTTGGGTCAATTATAGCACCCCTCTTCTTAATTTTATAGAGAGTGGCTAAACAAGAAAAATAAAATTTTATCCTTAAATCATAATTTAATGTTATCAAGTAAGATGTTTTGTGGACAAATTCAATATAATACGAGAATTTAATTAATTTAATACGAGAACTATTTTGACGAACCGAGCAATAAAAAAGTAATTCAATCTCATATAGTAAATACTAATCTTTGTTTAGTAGGTACTCCATAATTGATAAAAAAAAAATTTAATAATTATGCATTGAACTCCAAGAAAGATGATTAGTGCATTTTTTTTAATTAAAAGAATCACATAAAATGACATGACATAATTAATAGTATATTTAAGATAATTTATTTGGAGGTTGTCTAATTAATTATACTAATAATGCTCATCAATACTCAAACAAAAAATTTAGAATGGATACATTGTATCTACATTAAAAGTTGGAGGGTGGACGTAATTTTTGCTTAATTGTGCATGTATTTGATTAATATATATTCTTATAGAGTTTATTATATTATATATTATGTGATAATAATTAATTTGTGGGTCTAATGGAACGGGTATTTTATGGCCCATTTTCATGATCCACTTTTGGACATATAATAACACTACCATATGTCTCTTTCTTTAATGCCATAGACATAAATTGTGATATGTTCATCATTACCAAATGCATATCCAACCTAAATACTATCACCATTATTTTTCTTTTTCCTTTTTTTCCAATTGAATATCATGATATTTGTGAAATTAAAAAATATTATTATTAGAGATATTAATATTATATATATATATATACTCCCTATGGTCCACAATAACTGTCTATTTTTTAAAATATTGTTGTTCCATATTATCTGTTACTTTATATTTCCAATACTGCATTAAATGTATTTTTCCTGTTTTAACCTTATTAATGAAACTCTACTCATTAATTTTCTCTTATAAATCATTAAATATTAAAGGTTGTTTTAGTCATTTTTATATGATTTTTCTAAAATCAAGATATATTTATTGAGTTTCTTAATCTTTGTAAAAAGTGAGAAGTGACACTTATTTAGGAACGGAGGGAGTATATATATATATATATATATATATATATATATATATATATATATATATATATATGGGCTCTTAGTATTAAAATTTCGGGGGCTACAGTGTAAAATTAGTAGACAAATAATAAAAGCGAAAAACATTAAATATAATTTTTTTTTTCTAGAGCGGAAGCTAACCCAATCATAATGTGCGATGGCCATGGCTATCTCTTACGCGCCCTTTTGGTTTGACGGAATCAATGGAATATGAGCTTCAGCCGATCCAGGCTCGGCTCACATGACCCGACTGTCAGCCCTATAATGGATAAGGAATGATATACAATTTAGTCACCCCTAATCCAGTGTTTGGTACACATGATCCATACATATCATTAATTCACTGCTCGTTATTCAATCATCCAAATAGATGATAAATTATCCCATCTATGTAGGTGAAATTGTGTAATCCGAAATTGATGCACACTTGGAAAAGTACAAAATAGCCATCACTTGATCGAGGGTTAATTTGTAAATGCAAGTAAATCAATCGCAATCATTCCAACAAACGGTGTTACTTGATCAAGGGTTAATTTATAAATGCAAGCATAACCAATCACAATCATAACAACGCAACGAATGATATTTCTTGACTAAATAGTGGTGAACAGTGCAATAATCTCGTGTTTTGTTTCTTGACTATTGTTTTGTAAATTGATGAAAATAATGGTTTACCTTGTTAAAGGAAAATGTATACTCCCACAATCCACATGACAATAATTAAAAAAGAAAAAAAACATGTGAGCATAAAACATGTTAATAATAATCAAGGGAAATAATGACATAAACTGAAACTTGGAAAGCATGATCACGTGCCACCACTATGTAGTCTAATCATTTATTTGTTTTTTTAAGGCATGAATTATATGATACATTAACTCGATTGGTATGCCATTATTGATGCATTATTTTTGTGTCCTTATTTTATTTTTATTTCTATATTATTATTTATTTATTTTAGTTTAGTACCCATTTAAAAAAATAATTTACTGCATATTTAAATTAGAGAGATTCACTTGAATAAGCTGAGGGAACCGACATTGTGGGGCCGCTGTTGACCACGTGGCAGGCAGCATCCTCCAACTCCCCCACGTTGGCCCACAGTAAGTCAACATGGCTGTTAAATTTGGGACCACAATGTGGGGACCCACTATATATATATATATATATATATATATATATATATATATATATATATATATATATATATATATATATATATATATGTAAACCTTTTTAAAAAAATAAAAATTAGGAGGGAGCTATGATTTGTAATAGGGCTAAGTATCAAATCAAGATACTAATCAATTTGAGATCGTTCGTTAAAAATTCTCGTCTGAGGTCAGTTTGTTATGGTAACATAATGAACGAACGAAGCTTGAACGTATATTTTTATTTGATAAACTTTACGTCTTAGCTCGCATCTCGTGAGCTCGAATTAGATAACCTAAAAGAATGATAAATGAAGTTACTCGAATATGATTTGTGTACGCATTGATTAAAGCTCGTTGAACTGGACTGGTTTTTATACTAAACAACTCATACACAACTTTAAAAGTTCAAAAGAAAACGACCACGTGTTTGGCTCAGCTCGAGTCATTTATAACCCTATAATAAGTAATAACAACGAATATACCAACTCTATTAATGAAGACCGATATTAAAAAAAACATGGTATTCAAACTTGATTAGTTTCGTCAATTGTCGATATAGACTTTGGTTAAGCTTAGAGTTAAGTGGTTCAAAACATTTTATAATTTTTTTAATAGCTTATAAACTTTCTATATTTGTTTCATATAATTTTATAAAATTAATGATCATCAAGTTTTGAAAAATACTATGTTGTTTTAAAAGAAAATACCTACATCTTACTTTTTTCTATAATTTTTTTTTTTTTTTTTTGCCAGTACTAATTTAATAATCAAAATCCAAAAATGCCCTCACGTATCTATTTAAGCTCTCTTGACATCTATAAATTGCAGGGGATATATGGATGTAATTATAAAAAAATGAGGACTGTCTTCATAAATAGACCTTTCTTCAGGGGAGCAGTTGTAAAAAAAAACTTTAGCCACTGTGGATCGGATCCGCTAAAGGGGGCCACCTGCCAATAACAAAAATTTTAAGGATGTAAGTACTAGATTTTAACATCTAAGGGATCTATAGTTTCTCCAATTGAGGTTTGGGGGTGCAAAGTGCAAATTAGTAAGAGTGTGTGCAAGAAACACAGACAATAGCGATGACATAATATCTTATAGTATTCAGTTGATATTGCCGACCGGATGAATCGGCAGACGCCATATATGCATGCATGAAGCCCATTCCTTCGCATTCAAGTCACATGAATCTTCCCACCATCTTATACACTATACACTATACATTACGAATCTTCGCATTCAAGGTATCAAATTAAAAAAAATATAGTTCGAAGATCGAAATAATTGGAATTGAAATCAGGGTCGTTCTTGAGAAATTGGGGGCAATTCATCTAGCGAGTTTTATGAATTTGTAAAAATAGGCTCCTATGGGGTACGGTTCAAGACATGCAGAGCTCATAATATTTTTTTGAAAATAGTCATAGAAATATTTGTCGAACAACTGAATATATGTAATATTTGTTTAAATATAATAAAATAAGATATAGTATATTTCAACTTGTCGAAACTTTTTCAAGTTAGAGATAGACAATGTAGATTGTCAAAAAATATAAAAATTGCTGGAAAAAAAATTAGATAAAAATTTGGGGTCCATTTGATATACACCCTTAATATGGAAAATATATAGGGATAGGTCCACCCCTAAAATTCTTCCTTTGAGATAACCCCCTGAGGAGGCAAAAGTACTATTGTGCCCTTATATCTATTTTTTGCCCAACTGTATTCAGTATTTTTACTAACTGCATTCAGCATTATGATCAACTGCAATTAACATTTAGACCTGCATTTATCATATTATCAGATTTTTTTAATAAAAAATTATAAATGTTTATTTTATTATTATTTTTTATATATACCTCTGTTGTATTTTTAATTTTTTAATTTTTTTTTAATTTTTTAAAATTGTTTAATTTTTGTAATTTTTAATTTTTTAAATTTTTTAAATTTTTAAATTTTTTAAAATTTTTAATTTTTTTAATTTTTTAATTTTTTAATTTTTTAATTTTTTAATTTTTTTAATTTTTTTTTAATTTTTTTTAATTTTTAATTTTTAATTTTGTTTCAATATTTTGATAAATTTACTGTATTGAAATTGACTACACATGACTATGGTATATATATTACATATGATTATATAAAACAAACTTCATCTACACCAAAAACAAAAATTCACAATTTAATCTTGATATTATAAATCAATTAATATCCAACAAAAAATTGGAAAAACACAATCATCAACATCACTATACATCAGAAAAAACACATAACTTATATAGCTTATATATAACAATATATTACTACGAGTTACTACACGTGACTATATATGACTACATGTATATGACTACACATGACTATATATGACTACATGTATATGACTACACATGACTATATATGACTACATGTATATGACTACACGTGACTATATATGACTACACGTGACTATATATGACTACATGTATATGACTACACGTGACTATATATGACTACATGTATATGACTACACGTGACTATATATGACTACATGTATATGACTACACGTGACTAAATATGACTATATGTATATGACCACGTGTGACTATTTATGACTTGATAACGCAAATCTCCCCTACACTGAAACAAGTACATCTAAGTTTCGAATAAGACGTAATTGTCGAGAAACTGCCGGTCCTCCCACTGTATCATCACCGACTCGCCTGACATACTCCTCATCCAACACGAGAGTAGCTTCTAGAGTTGGTAGCCAATCTGCTTGTTGAAGCCAATTCTCAAAGAAGAATTGCCATGATACTGAACATAAAAATAATTCAGACCCTCAATCATATTGGAAATATGAAATCATTAGCGCATTAACTAATAGAATAAATGAAAACGGTAGCACCCCTCTAGATTGACTTTTTGAGAAAGAGAAACTTACACCATGTACTAGAGCAAATGAACCACTGTCATCATTTGTGGATGAACATATATAGCCATGAACTTGAACCGAGTAAGAATGGTACATTACTCTACGGTGAGCCAGTCTTTTCACTACCTGAATGTAATTTCACCAAGAAGACATCAAAGTCGGACAATATATCACCATTATCAAACACATAGCCCACACATGACTACATGTTGCTATATGTTACTACTATATATGACTATAGTCAAGTACAGTAGCATGTAGTAATGTTACTATATATGACTATAGTCGACTACAGTAACATGTAGTAATGTTACTATATATGACTATAGTCGACTACAGTAACATGTAGTAATGTTACTATATATGACTATAGTCGACTACAGTAACATATAGTAATGTTACTATATATATCTATAGTCGACTACAGTAACATGTAGTAATGTTACTGTATATGACTATAGTCATCTACAATGTTCTATACTCTTAATAAATTTAACTTCATAGTGTACTATTCCCCATCATTCCTTATTGTATGAAGTAGCAACCTGCGGCAAAATATACGAGTTAGAGAAAACGAACACTAAAATCGAAAATAAAAATTAAATCAAACCTTATACGGACGACTATACTTTTGAGTAATTTCATCAAGCACTGATCTAATTATGGCACTGTCGCCATTCCACACCAGAGATTTCAATTTGCAGACCAATTTGCTGATCATCTATAAAAAAAATTAAAAATATATACAAATCTACAAATTAAATCATAAGCTCAGTAATATAATAAATTGCAATGGCTCTTTGAGTTAATTCTTATCTATTTGGTCCAACAATTCTCCAGATACAACAGTACTACAGTAGCATGTCTTCCAAAAATTTATCTGAGATAAATATCCAATTTAATTATTACAAATTATCACTAACACAGTTTAGCACCTTACGAATATTCAGAATTACAATATTAGTCAAAAATTAAAAGAACAAACATAATTTATAATATATAATTAATTAAGCACCTGTTTCCATGAAAGGCACTCAGGTGAATGATGGTCAGAAGACAACAGCTCCATCTCCGCCAGGCCACCGGAACAATCTGGAAATCTCTCGCAGCGACGGAAGTTCTTCCGATGACCATGACATTTGCGATTTTTCTCTGAAACCTAGGGTTTCGAATTTGAAGGGAACCTGAATCTGAACCAACCGAGAGATTTGGATAAATATTTTTCTCTCGAAATAAGAACAGTGGCGAGAGAGAGTTAGAGAGAGAGGGAGAGATAAAGAGAAACCGAGAGGAGGGATGTAAACGGCGGACGTGTGAATGGAAGAGAGGGGTTAGGCGATTAGGTTATTTATTGAATTGAATTAAAAGGGCAAAACAGGTATTTTATGTTGTTCAGGGGGGTCTCACAAATTAAGTTCAGAATTTGGGTTTTTGACTAGGAAGGAAAAATTCTTTGGACCTACTCATATATATTTTCAAAACTAGGGGGTTATCACTCATTTCCCCAAAAATTTGATAGAACAACTCAGAATCTAACTAATTATAACTGATCTTAAACGCTAACATTTCGTTCATATCGAGTGCAAGAATAAGTGTATATTTCCAACAGATGCTTAAACTATGTAAAATAATATAGTTATGGTTATTCAAATTGTTGAACTATTCATATACTTTAAATATCATTTAAAATACTATGACTGATATATATAAAGAGTACAAAACATTTTTCGGGAACCCCTAATTTTTTTTCTAAAAATCAGGGGTCCGAAACAAACGTCTCTCTCGTCTATAATCAGAACCGACCCTAAATCGGAATGGATTGAAATTTGCAAATATCCCAATTTCAAGTAATAGAAAAGCTTCCCATACTTGAGGTGTGCAGATTACACTCCCCAAAACCCCAACATTGCATTCATTTCTCGGAACCCTCCCCCATCACCATTAATAGTACTCTTCCTTAATAAGCTAACTATAGTAATTAATATTTTCTTACCACTTTAGTCAACCTAACTTTTATTAATCCTTTCTCCACTCTCATCAACCAAACACGTTATTACCATTAATTATTTGTCCCCCCTTCATTTTCTCTCTCCTCTCTCTCTCTTTCTCTCTCCTCTCTTTCTCCCTCCTCTTTGCGCCTGTATATATATACACACGAGAATGAGTTCGTTACTACAATTACCAAAAAACTCAGAGCGAATAAAAATGGAGCAAGACGACTCTGTTTACTATTTACCTGATTCAGACTTGGACTTCAGCTTCACCTCCACCACCACCACCACCGACCGTACTCTCTCCGCCCGGAGCAGCTTAGCTCGCAGCAGCATCACCCTCAGCTTCAACGAGTCCCGCCTCTCCACCGCCTCCACCACCACCACACCTTCCACCGCCGTCCCCAACGCCCACCCCCGCCCACACCGCCGCCACGACAACCCCAACTGGGCCGCCATTAACGCCGCCACCACCTTATCCTCCGACGGCGCCCTCCACCTCCGCCACCTCAAGCTCGTCCGCCTCGTCGGAGCCGGCAACCTCGGCCGCGTGTTCCTGTGCCGCCTCCGCGACTACGACGGCGCCGACTTCGCACTCAAAGTCGTCGACCGCGATTCCTTGACCTCCAAGAAAGTATCCCACGTCCAGACGGAGGCGCAGATCATCTCCGCCCTCGACCACCCCTTTCTTCCGACGCTGTATGCCCACCTGGAGGTTTCGCACTACACGTGTCTCCTCATGGATTATTGCCCAAACGGCGACCTCCATTCCTTGCTCCACAAGCAACCCTCGAACCGGCTACCGGTTCGGGCGGTCAGATTCTTCGTCGCCGAAGTTCTGTTGGCTCTCGAGTATTTGCACGCGCTGGGGATCGTGTACCGCGATCTGAAGCCGGAGAATATTCTGATCCGCGAAGACGGCCACATTATGCTGTCGGATTTCGATCTGTGTTTCCGCTCCGACGTTTCGCCTAAACTGAACCGCACGACCACCACCCAGATCGTTAAGGTGGGCCCCACCGGTCGGCGGTGGCGTGAGGAACGCGCGGCCGAATTCATCGCCGAGCCCACGGCGGCGTTCTCGAAATCGTGCGTCGGCACCCACGAGTACTTGGCGCCGGAGCTGGTCGGAGGCTACGGCCACGGCAACGGGGTTGACTGGTGGGCTTTCGGGGTGTTGGTTTTTGAGATGCTGTACGGAACGACGCCGTTTAAAGGAGGGAGCAAGGAGTCCACCCTCCGCAACATTGCCTCCGCCAGGGGAGTGAGGTTTCCGGCGGCGGCGGAAGGGGAGAGGGAGGAGGCGGGGATGGCGGAGGCGAAGGACTTGATCGAGAAATTGCTGGTGATGGACCCGAGGAGGAGGCTAGGGTGCGAGAGGGGTGCGACGGATATCAAACGCCACCCGTTCTTCGCCGGAATAAAATGGCCGTTGATCCGGACTTACCGGCCGCCGGAGGTACGTGGGCTGGCCGTGAAACGAAGCAAGCTGAGCAAGGGGGTTGTGGGTGGTGGTGTAAGTGTTTCGTCGCCCAGGCGGCGGCGTAGCTTCTGGAAGAGGGTGAGCCGTTTGATGGGGATTAAGGGGTCTAAGTACAGTGGTTTAAATCCTAATCATAATTACTACTCCTACGTTAATTAATTAGACAAAGATTTAATTTGGCTGGCGCGTGAGTCTTGTCAAATTTGTGAAAAAAACCAAAGTTAATTAGATAAATGTTGGAGAATTAAGTTAATGATTTCTCTATATACAGTTTGAGAGATTTGTTATACATACATGATACATCATACATGTAAATTCAAACAGAAATTCCCAGTGCATTGACTTTTCTTGGTCAACAATATAATTATATTTTCCCCCCTTTTGATTTCAATTGTTTTTTTATTTTCTGAATTATTATGAATGCCAAAAATTGATGAATAGTAGTAAGTGATGTAATTATTGATTGTCAATTTATAGTGTAGACTTTAATTTTGGATCTCAAACATAGTAGTCAAGGTGACATTGATGTGAATAAAATAAACCTATGTCTATAATGCAATAATTCATGCAACAAAATCACATGCTATAAAGTATAAACACAACTATCTTGATCCAACTTTCCTGAAGTAATTCTCATTTCTAATAGAGTTGGACATTACTCCATTTGTTCCTAATTAATTGGCGTTTTTCAAATATTCACAATCACATCCTCCTCGTATCGTGTAGCTTAGACACGACCATGGTCGGTTTGGGCTGGTTCACTCTGGTTCGCGATTCATATTTTTCGGAACCAGAACCGGCCCGTACTATACACAGTTCGACAGGTCGGCCCGGCCCGAATATATATATATATATATATATTGAAAATACTTGATGGATAAATAAATTAAAATAATTACTTTTAAATAGGAAAAACAAAAGAAAATAAATAAAAGGACTTGAACATAATTTTATACGAAAAATGGGGTGTGAGGTTATTTATAGGAAGAAATTGGGTTGGGGGGATTTAAAAAAAAAACAAATAATGGTCCGTTCACTGGATCGGTTCAGCTTTTTTAAGCTTTTTTTTTTTTCAGTTTTTCTTTTTATTTTTTCTAAATCCGGGTGAACCGCCGGGCCGGCCCGGCGGTTCACGGTTCACCTATTTCTAGAACCGGGCCCGTCCCGAGGTATACGGGCCGGTTCACGGTTCCGGAACCGGTTCACCGGTCAACGGGCCGGTTCCGGACCGAAAACCGGTCCATGACCGTGTCTAATGTAGCTAATCGAAGTGAATCAATAACTATCGTTCATACCCTCCAAAGACAAACGCAGATTTGCTTTCCCAACGACCGTTGTGTGTGAATTTATGTGCGTACATGTGTGTGATAATCGATGACAATGGTGACGAAGGAGGATGGCGCGGTTGTGGGATGGGGAAGACAACAGTGATGAATCAAGGATATGGTTGTGATATGCCTAATTGGGCCAACCCAATGGGCCTACAATTACTTTACCTACTGGGCTACGAGCCCAATATCGAAGACTAATATCACCGAGGCCCAAACACCTTCAAGTAAGGCTTGGGCCCAACAAAGCAAACTCAACCCAATAAACGACATATAAATAGAGGTTTTCCTCATTTTATTACGGTACGTCCTATTAACTGAGCAATACTAAAATATGTATTCTCTGGACTATTTCTATGATCAGCACGTCTGACTTGAGCGTCGGAGGGGTTTCCGCCGGATCAACCCCCGGCTTAGTTCATGTGTTCTATGATCGCAGGTACCTCAGGATCATCAAGTTGTCAAGCTACTGATCTGCTTTGCTCTCCCAGTTCGTTTTCTACACCACCCTAGGTGAGCTATATTTTAGCATCATCAGGTTGAATCTAAAATAGAAGATATAAGAAAAATAAAGAAAAGAGTATAGATGGGCTGAGGGAGAAAGGGGCGGATAGTTCCGTCTGAAAATGGAAGAAGCTTTTTAGCTGATTGGCAAAATCCGACTATACTAATATAAAATAATAGTAAATTAGTAATGATGAAGATTAAAGGTGCAATTGAGCTAGAGTTTAACTCGAGGATTGTTTATTTGATGAGTTCGAGCTCAATTTTACGATTATTATTTACATTCTTATATTTACTATATTATTATTTCTAATTTTTAATATTATATGTTATTTAAATTACAATTAAACTGTAAATCTAAGAAGAAACTGGAAATAAATATAGGGCGAATGGCAAAAACGCCCATCACATGGGACTTAAATGCGTTTTGGTTCACAAAAAAAACAGTCTCTCAATTAAACTCATCTCCATGTCTTCAGTCTAAAATACCCTCCATAATATAATTCTTATCAATTCCACCCATTATACTCTAACTTCCTAAATATTACACATTGACCCCGAATTTAAACAAATATATCACATTAACCCCTAATTTTTTTTTCAGAAAATAATTTTTTTTTCTGAAATATTTTTTTTCCGGCCAGATTCCGGCGTTGACTTTTTTTTTCTGAATTTTTTTCCGGCCGGTCAACCACTGTTGACCGCCGGTCTCCGGCGTTGACTTTATTTATTTATTTTTTTTTTTTTTGAAAACTTTTTTTTTCTGAATTTTTTTGTTCTTTTTTCTTTCTTTTTTTTCATCTTTTTTTATTATTTTTTTATGCATTTTATTTATTTAAAATTAAAATATTATTAAAAAATATCAGGGTTAGTTTAGTAATTTCATATAACTTAGCAGCCAATTTCAGAAAAAGGGACGATGTTCTTTATCAAACAAAATATAGGGGGGTATTTGCTAATTTTTATAACATGAGGACTTTTTTGGCTATTCAAGATTACACTGGGGGTTATGTGCAATTAGCTCAATATTCTTGCAAACACAACATACATAAGATATCGCAAAAAAAGGGTGAATTGCGTTTTGCACCCCATCATTAACAGTATTCGGCGTTTTCCATCCTAACATCTTAAAATTGGCAAGCCCACCTTAAAATATACATCTCATGGCAAAATGCACCATACCTTAATTTCTAGTGATATTTTAGCCAAAACAAATAAATATATCACGATATTTTACACAGTTCTGAAGGAATTTTCATTATTCTTTACGTTTTGTTTTCTTACTTAATATAATTTAATTATTTTACTTGCATATATATTAAAAACATAACTGATGATTTATTTTATATGTTTTGCATTAAAAACAAACATTATATATAATTTCTAATTTTGAGTCAATTTAAATTTTCAAAATAATTCAAAATTTCTAATTATTAATATCTACTAAAAAATAAAAATAGAATAAGAATTGTAGGGCACTAGTATTATTTTTAAATGTCTAGTTGATAGAAATAAATGTATTACTTAGAATAGGGCTTTAAATTGTTACCTTTCAGAAGTTAAAATATGGTGTTATATTACTTTTTGGGCTTAAAATCTCATAAGAAATTGATGTAGGGTGCATTGTGCCATAAGATAAATTAAGGGTGGGCATTGCCAGTTTTGAAATGTGAAGGGGCAAAGCGCCAATTTAGGTTAATCATGGGTGCAAATAGGGGTGAAAGTCGGATGGATAAGATCGGAATTAGCCTTTTCGGAAAATTTCCAAAAAAAATTCGAAGTACAAAATCAATTCCAATTTCAATTCCAAAATTTTCGGAATCTAAAAATTCATTACAATTCCAAAAGGCCGGAAATTTCGGAAAAAAATCGGAAATCACATAAGCTTTAAAATTTCAAAACATAGCCGAAATTTTCTAAAATGTTCATAAATTTTCAAAAGAGTAATGTGCAAAAGATACCCTTGTGTAATCTCAAAATAGCAAAAACCCCCCAATAATAAATTAACTAGCAAAAACCCCCATGTGAAATGTTTTAAATAGCACACTTGACCCCTTAGTAATTTAAACATTGACCCAAAGTAAAAAAGACATAAACACCCTGGTATTTAGCTGTTAAATATTTTAAATTCTTATATTTATAGATATTTTATCTGTTGTATTTTTATTATAAATTTTAATCAGAAAAGTAGAATAGGTTTCTATTTTATTTTATTTTTAAATTATCATATAAGTTCTTTATTTAAAATTATTCGTACACTAGGTACCTAAATTTACAAAATTATGTATTGTTTTATTTTGAATTATCTTAGAAAATAAAATTATAATTAATTTGATCATTAAAATTTTATAATATTTCAATTTAATTAGTTTATTTAAAAATACAAAAAAATCAGAAGAAAAGAAGAAGATAAGTTGAATCATCATCGTCCTGATGTGCTGCAGTGGTTGGAGTCTGGGAGGTGGCTGAACGAGATGTTGAGGTGAGAAAATTGAAGATTAGGGTTTCATGGGAAACCTATCTGAAAAATTCCTGAAATCATATATCTATATACTTTGAGGGGCCAATTATGTAATTTTCACATCTAAAAATCCTATCATCACCCGCACACATAGCGAGAAAGTTGCCTTTTGCCTTTGACTA